GTTTTTTTTTTTGAAGCAAATAATACTATATCATTTTCAATAAAATGTTTACATGTTATTAATATACTCACTAAGATGCTTTTGAAAAAAAATACTCACTAAGGTCTCATTATATTAACTTTAAATTTAAATTTAAATTTTTTATCTTTTAACAAAAATTATAAATTTCCTTAGTAACCTTTGTCATTGTTTAGCATTCAAACATTTTACTCATTGGTTGGTGCATGATCCCCTTACTTAGAGAGTAAGGTTCCAATCTCACTTCCCTCAATTAGAAAAAAAAACACATTAGTTGTTGTTTCATTCTCAAAATTTCTTTAAGTTTTATTGTTCTTTATATTTTTATTTAATTTTATAGTTATCATAGTTATCCCATATTAATATTATAAAGAATATATTAAAAACCTCTTTATACATTATGTACCAAATAAAAGGACAAATTTTCTTAGCCTTTAAATATAAGATATTTTCAAAAATAATTTTCTTTTTAATTTTAATTATTTTAACCAAGAGAAAAGAGTTTTAAATAAAATTACCGTTAATGAAATCTTCTCATATTCAAACGCATAAAAAAATGTTATTTTTCTAAAAAGAAAAATTCAACATCACCACTACTCAAGAACAGTAACACAAAGGTGTAAAAAACTAACAACAAAAGATTTAAAGTATAAAAATGGAAAGATGAAAAAGAACAAAAGAAGAGTTATCATCATAATCATCCTCTCACACATACAAATAAACAAATGAAGAAAAATAAAAATAGAAGTGAATACAAAGCTATTTTAGTTTTTGATGAGCCTTTTGTTTGTTTTCTTTCGCTAGTGGGGTTGTTGCGAAAAGATCTCAAAGCTTTTATAGTTGCAGCAGATGTACTGGTGGTATGCAGCTACTATAAGAGCTCCGACAAAATGACCAACCAAGCAAACTTAGAAAAAAATGTTATTACATATCATGTTGAAAAAAAATTATTACATGTCATGTTTAAAGTGTTTAATTCAGAGTTTATATCTTAATGAAATATAAAGATAGAGACAAAATTACACACCATGTTTAAAAAATAATATTATCACATGTCATGTTCAAAAAAATATTACTACATGTCATGTTGAAAAAAATGTTGTTATATACCATATTTAAGATGTGTAACTCCAAAAGTTTATATCTTAGTGAAATATATAGATAGAGACCAAGTTAAACGTCACATTGAAAAAGAAGAGTTGTTACATGTTACATTGAAAAAAAAGTTATTACACGCTATATTTAAAGTGTTTAAACTTCAATAATTTATGTTATAGTGAAATATAAAATAAAGACTAAGTTACATGATATATTGAAAAAAAAGTTATTGCATTTTATGTTGAAAAAAGAAATTATTACATGCTATATTTAAGGTATTTAATTTTAAAAATTTATATCCTAGTGAAATACAAAGATAAAAGATAAATTACATACCATATTTAAATTATATCATATTCAATAAATTTGTTACATGATAAATATATTAAAGTTGCTACATGTAGGCATAATGTGTAGTAATTTTAAGAAATGTTTTAATTTATAAATTTTATTTATATAATTCTAACCCATTAACTTTGAGATTCTATAAATATAAATCAATAAACCTATAAACATACATTAATGTTATCTCTGTTTTTTTGTTTGTAAATCAACATTGATATAGTGAGAAATAACAGAGAAAGATGACGATGGTGATAAAATTAAAAAAAAATAGATAGTGAAAAGAAATAATTAAAAACATAATAAACAAATGTGAGAGAAAAAAATTGATAAAATTAAACAAATTGATTGACAAAGAGAGAAAAATCAAAAGCATACCATGCATACGCTGAAGAGAAAAATTAAAAAAAAATTATAATAAATAATTTAATTTATTTAGAATAATTTAAAAAATATTTTATAGTTAAAATAAATAAAAATAATTAATTTTTAATTAAATATTATTTTTGAAATGACTTTATTCGCACGATTTCTAAAAAGTACCCTCTTTATAGAAGTTTCCTTGTGTTGAAAACGAAAACTTGGAGCGCTCATGCATGACGTAATGCACATGTGAAAACTCCGTGCAGTTGCAGGCAACGTCTGAATTCCCTGGTCACTATTAATCTTTACCTTTCTGTTATATTTCTGGAACCTTCCAGATCTCAAATTCCTTCCTTGACAAGCTCATCTTTTCCGTGTATATAATCAAGCCCTCCTCCCTTTCCTTTCCCCATCCCTGCAATCAACAATTCTTCTCTCTTTTGCTCTTTGAAAATTTCTTTCCTTTCAAACCCTCGCTCCTAGCATTTCCTCCTTCAATCCCTCGAACAAGATGCAGATCTTCGTGAAAACCTTAACCGGCAAAACCATCACCCTCGAGGTGGAGAGCTCAGACACCATCGACAACGTCAAGGCCAAGATCCAAGACAAGGAAGGCATTCCTCCTGATCAACAGCGCTTGATCTTCGCCGGCAAGCAACTTGAAGACGGCCGAACCCTTGCGGATTACAATATCCAAAAGGAATCGACTCTCCACCTGGTACTCCGTCTCCGTGGCGGTATGCAGATCTTCGTCAAAACCCTAACCGGCAAGACCATCACTCTTGAAGTCGAAAGCTCTGACACGATCGACAACGTTAAGGCCAAGATCCAAGACAAGGAGGGCATCCCTCCGGACCAACAGCGATTGATCTTCGCTGGCAAGCAGCTCGAGGACGGCCGCACCCTGGCCGACTACAATATCCAGAAGGAATCAACCCTTCACCTTGTGCTCAGGCTGCGCGGAGGCATGCAGATTTTCGTCAAAACCTTGACCGGGAAAACTATTACTCTGGAGGTAGAGAGTTCGGATACAATTGATAACGTCAAGGCAAAAATCCAGGATAAGGAAGGGATCCCTCCGGATCAGCAGAGGTTGATATTCGCCGGGAAGCAGTTGGAGGACGGCAGGACCCTTGCGGATTACAATATCCAGAAGGAGTCCACTCTTCACCTTGTGCTGAGGCTCCGTGGAGGGATGCAGATCTTCGTGAAGACGCTGACCGGAAAGACGATTACGCTTGAGGTGGAGAGTTCTGATACAATCGATAATGTGAAAGCAAAAATTCAAGATAAGGAGGGGATTCCACCTGATCAGCAGAGGCTCATCTTCGCTGGGAAGCAGTTGGAGGACGGGCGCACTCTTGCAGATTACAACATCCAGAAGGAGTCTACCCTTCACCTTGTCCTTCGCCTTCGCGGTGGTGCTCAGTAATTAGAGCTTTTAATTATCTGTCTGCGTCTC